ATGAGTGACCACAGTTCGTTGAGGCCAACCACATTCTCAACAAAAGCAGATGCCACAAGCGGTAGCGGTGGGTCCTTTGACGTGGCAATTAAACAACGGCTCTTGATTTGTGTATGGTGATAAGAGTAGCTGAAGTTTTCATTTGATATAAATCATAATCCTGCCACTAGTTGCTGAAGATGCTTTTGCTTGGGAAAAATTTAGAAAATTGTGATTTGGGCGCCGATATCAGTTCATTTTGTCTGATAATGGTGGGAGGTTACATAAAGCACATGATTTCCACGCAAGGATAGAACTTGATTGGGCGTGATCGTGGTTAGGCAGTTGGGCTTTTCACCTTGTCAAGTTGGAAGAGGTGGCGACTCCAAAAGAGACAAGCCGATGCTGATGCATCTCCTAGTCAGATTCTTGACTAAAGTTAAACCTCTTTTTGAAGGTTACAGTGCAAAAAAAGGTAGACTGGTGCTAATGCTTGCTCTTTCTAGGAACTAAAATTTCATAAACAAAACATTGACAGTACGTTGGTTGTGGCTTTTGTTTAGGCCTTGTGCTTCTGGGCAAAATGACAAAGTCCCTTTCAGGGACTGCCGAACTGATTTAAATTTTTATGGTCCTCATTAAAAGTGGTATTTTTAAGTAAATAGTTGTTATTGAGGCTATCTGAGCTTGAGATATTTGGTCCAACAGTTTTCCAGCTATTCATACAAATGCACTGTAAACAATAATTTAATTTTCAGCAAAATCCTGGATATGAACCTTTGTCTTTACTTTATTTATTAGATCTTGCAGTTTCTCTAATAGTGCACCGCAGAAATGCAATTCCTCTCCCACCAAGCAAAACACACCTTAAGAACCCACAAATTGCATCCTTATGAAATTGTTGTATTTACACACCCTTGTGAACCAAAATCCAACTTGTTTCTTTCTAAGTTTTCGAGCCATTCACTCGTAGGACTGGAACTGGATCTGGATCCATCCTTCATCACACCATATTAGGGCTTAAAAGCCCATTTTCAGCTCCATTAGGTGACCCTTATGCGATCCCATCATATTGAAAGTAAACGACATATTCCCGCCCAAGGTTTAATGAAATTTTATGTTGGTATCTTTGGTTTCATAAATTCTAGATTCGCACTCTTAAATAGATGTCGTTAGTGATATTTTAATAGTTAAAGGCTAAAATGGTATTTTTCTCCTTTTTCTCTCTTCCCTTCTCATTTCTTCTTCATCTTTGCCTCCTCCTCCCATCTTCTTCTTTTTTTTCCTCCACATCTCAAAACAGTTGTTGTTTCAAGCTCCTATGTCACAACCCATTTGTCATTAACGATGTTAAATTAAAGATGAGAATCTGGAATTCATGGAACCAAGGATACCAACCTAGGATTTCACAAAACCTTGGGTGAGAATATGTCGTTTACTCTCGTATTGATTACCAAACTAGTTAACTAATGTTTAGATGAACAATTATTAAACAACCAAGCTTTTGATTGATACATTTTACACTTAATCTGTTAAATTAAATAGTAAAACCTTGATGCAATACTAACAGCAGGGGCAAAGTGTTATTTGATACTTGAGGGAGAATTGTTATTTACTGATATTTTAAGGAGAAATTAATTTTGGAGTTGGGGGGGATGGGGTGGTGGTACTTTCTTTTGACTGAAGAAATTGTGTTCCCAATTGTCTCGTTCAATAACATGTGGAGGCTTCCAGAATTTTTGATCAAAATTTTCTGGCAAATGCTGCAATCAGCAAGAACTCTGTAGATAAGTATAGCACCTCTCTTCTAAGGGGGTGACTTCCGTGATAGACCTTTCTAAAATTTAGAAAGATCAAACACACAACACCTCCCCCATAATATTAGTAAATTTCAACAGCCATGTTTAGACTTTGTATGACCAAGTCAAAAATATATTTTAAGAGATGATGTGAAAACTGAAAAGTACATGGACAAGACAACCAAATTGGATTCTTACTTTTAAAATAGTAGTTGTATTCAAGTGGAGTTTTTGCTCCACCAATGCTCTTACGCCAACACTGGCGGCGTGGCGGCAAATGAGTGGAGCATGCCTAACCGAGTCAATGAGCCGCCAACCGAGTCAAAAATCTCGTGTCCACGACGCGTTCCTTCGACTCACACCTCCGTTTCCCTTTCTGCCAATATTTCCAGGAAACTGCACATGCCATTCATTAGTTTGGTCGTATAAATAACCTTAATCACGCGCTCTCCTCGCATGAATTAATCATTCAAACCGCTGAGTTTCTGTTTCTCTCTCTAAGTTAGAATTTCGCATTTGTGATTCGTTCAATATTCAAGAATGAAGTCAGGCATGAGATCGTATGCTGTTCCAGTCATCGGATTTATGTTCTTCGCTCTGCTTCAACTTGGTTTTGGACAGAGCATATCTCCTTCACCTGCTCCATCTCGGACTAGCGATGGTATGTTTCTTGATTATTCTTTGGTTGCATATCTTTATTATATTCACATAATTATAAAGTCGCATCTCTTTACAGGTGCATCGATCGATCAAGGAATTGCTTACTTTCTTCTAATGGTGGCTTTAGCAGTTACATACCTCGTACATTAATTAATGTCGATTTCTTCCAACCCATTTATATTCTTTCACCTACTTGGAGAAATAATGAGCACCATATTCTTTTTGTATCTTGATTAATTTCTCTCCTTGTATATGTAGCTACATCTTTAATATATAAATTATTTTCTTAGCATATGTGATCTGATTTGGAACAGGAATTCCCTTGTATTCCATATTTGCCTAGGAATTATTTGAACACCAACTGAAATTGATCGACAAAATCTGTCCTTCATTATTTTAGGTTTAGTCATCTAGTAATCAACATCAGTTTCAAGTTAATGTAGAATGCACCATTGGGTTGAAGATATTAAAGTAAAAATTCAAAAATATTAATGATAGAAAGCAACACAGAGAAAAAAGGGAATATCTTTATGGACCATTATTTTCAATTATGTGTCAATATTCCATTGTGTGGTTGGATCTATCCCAAATAATTGTTTATTTATCCTTTCCAGATCGAGGGAGACATCCCATAATATTATTGTCAATCTGCTTGTACCTCTCAATAAAATAAATATCTCATTACTTTAGTTTTCAATATCCTATATATTAAAAGATACTTTTTTCATAAAAAATGATGAAATATTATTGAATGACGCTATTAGCGCCTACTAGATCTCACTTCTAAATAAACGTCGGCAAAAAAGTTTAAAGATATTACTAAATAAGTATTAAAAATAATAAAAGTTAGATATAAAAGTAGAATAAAAAATAAAGAAAGAAAAACAACTGTTTTAACATTATATAGCGCAAATTGATACATTGGAATAAATTAAGAAAGTTTTGAATTTATAGTTTTAAACCGAAGATTTCGAAGAAAATGTTAAGTTGGTGAAGATGAAATACAAAGCAATTGAAATTGAAATCTTATCGCAGATCCAATCCTCTCAATTTCTACAATTTCTTTTTACCTTCTCTCCATCCAAATGCTTCAATTTCACTCATTTATGTTATAAATGATGGTTGAAGAATAATATATATTTTTTTAAATATTTTTCTTCTTTCATTTCCTCTTTTTTTTTTAAATAATTTCTAGAAGTCCATATAATATTATATTACATATTTAAAAATAATAACAATAACAATAAATTATTGTTTATTTCTTGGATCATCATTTTTTTTCATCTTATTATTTTGTATCATATTGCTTCAAAATTATAAAAGAATAAAAATAATAAAAAACCAAAAAAGGGGATAAGTTCCAAGTTGTTGAGGTATGCTGGATAAATCGTTGATGGGTTTCCAATGATATTGTTATCTTTGGGACTTGAGGGTGATATAGTTTTGTCCTAAAAGACGTTTCTAGGTAGTGAGGATATCTTGGTGTTATATAAATGATCAAAACCCTCGTCTCCTAATCGATGTGAGACTGTAACACCAACACATATATCGCTTTTTTTTTTCCACAAATTATGACAAAATTGTTGAGTTATCAGGTAAAAGTATTTTAAAACATTAAAATTCAATACAACTTATATAATGTTAAAACGTAATCTTAACTAGTTAAATATAGCTTAAAGTTATTTAAAATGTGAGATTGTTTAATCTAGAGTTAACATTTTTTTTCCCACCCAAATAATGATCTAATAATATTTTCTCATCCACAAATTTTTAAAATACCACTTTAGTACTCAAATTTATATTATGATAACAAGCAAAAAGCAATCTCGGTCCAGACTGTTGGGGCTTTTGAAGAGGGGAGATCGATGAATCTTTTGGTGGTGGAAGATTAGATTTTGGTGGTTGAGATTGATCGGAATTTGACTTGGAAAAGGCGGCTGCGTAAATCCTAATCGCTTGATTGTTGGCGATTGGCGGGATCGGCGAGAATATGGTTTGAGGGGTTTTGATGAGTGATGATCGGTGAAAAGAATGGTGGCGATGTAGGGTCGCAATGATGTCGGAATCAGAAATGAAATATAAATTTGGATAATAAAGTAGTATTTTAAAAGTTTGTAGGTGGGAGAGTATTATTAAACCATTATTTAGGTGGAAAAAAGTCATTCACTCTTTAATCTAATCCATCAAAACTATTCAACTTCATGCACTTTTAATATGTAAGAAGGGATATAAGGTGAGGGACAAAAAATATGACCTAAATTTATTAAAAACTATGTAACACACTTTATATTGGTTTAAAATAATATGAAATGAAAACATTGTAAAATTAATGTATCCTTCGTCCGATCAAATCAAACGGCTAGAAAGTTAATTGATGAATAAGTGACCATAAAACTCAACATAACTCCTGCACTTATAAATTTCTTTAACAGTTGGAATAAAGCTACCCTACAGTTGCATCCACAATAAGAAAGTACACTTCCATTTAAAACCCGACACGCTATACACCATGCTATCGTAAGCCGTCTCTTCCATTACCTTGTCTCTCTCACACAATACACTACCAAGTCACCGACCGTCAAAACTGCTCTTATATTTCTCTTCATTGAAGGGAAAAAAAATTAAAATAAAAAGCAACCCATTACGGCGAGTGAACGGATATTATAGAAAAACTTGATTGTTAACATCTGTTAAGGGTATGTGCTCGATATTTATATGCAAGTTTATCCCGTCTTATCTTGCTTTTTCATTGATATTGTGCTTTCTTTAAAACCAGTGAAAAGGTGATAATTATTTATGGTATCTAATTTAGGTTCCTTTGATGCTCTCTTGTTTCTCTTGATGCATGGATTTTTGTGTCTTGATCCTTTTAGAGTTTTGTTTGCTTGATTGTGTTTGGATGGAGTTTTGGATGATCGTCTGATATTTTGCGGTGGAATTGTGACGGGTTTGGTTGATGTTGGTCTCATATTTTTGTTAGAAGTGAAAGATTTTAACTTTATGCTCAAATTGAATTTTTTTTTTTTTTTTTTTGTGTGTTCAATTTTGCTTTTTATTTTTCCATTTCTTGCATTAAGTAGCTGATGTTCTGGGTGATTATGTTATTAGATTGAATTTGGAATTGATCGATGAACTTTACTTGGTGTTTGTGCGTGCTACCTTTTTTAGTTGGTTGTTGATGTTGGATTGAATTTGTGTTCATTGGATTTTTGGTAAGCTCATAACATCAATGATTGTTTTGTTTTATAACGAGGCTTAGAGTAGACATTGATATAGTCAAGAGGTGCATTATTTGAAGGATTTTCATAGTTTGATTCCTAATGGATATAAGTTGGCAATGCAGTTTCAGAGAATGTAATTGTAGTTTTCTGTTTGGTACCTCATGATTGTCTATTAAAGTGTCTAATGGCTCATCCAAATAGAAAACAGTTAACTTTTGCTGTCATGAATTCTTGTTGTGTGGCCATATTGTGTATCTTTGCTTTGTTCTGATATGTTCCTGTTTNAACTGGATCTGGATCCATCCTTCATCACACCATATTAGGGCTTAAAAGCCCATTTTCAGCTCCATTAGGTGACCCTTATGCGATCCCATCATATTAAGAGTAAACGACAAATTCCCACTCAAGATTTAATGAAATTCTAGGTTGGCACCTTTAGTTTCATAAATTCTAGATTCGCACTCTTAAATGGATGTCGTTAGTGATATTTTAATAGTTGAAGGCTAAAATAGTCTTTTTCTCTCTTCTCTTCCCATTTCTTCTTCATCTTCGCCTCTTCCTCCCATCTTCTTCTTTTTCCTCATCTCAAAACCCCATCTCAAAACGGTTACTGTTTCAAGCCCCCCGCCTGATTCTAGCGGCGTCTTGACCTCCCGCCACCACCATCCGATCCTCCAACCCCACCACACAAAACCCCATCTATCCCCCACCCCGCAGATCCCGCAAATCACCCCCTAGTTTTATCTTGAAATTAGCCTAACCGCTAGCCTTTTCACCACTTTTTCGGCTCTATTTCACCCAAAACCACCACCACTTGCCTCCCTTAACCTCCCACACCAAAACCCGAGCTTTCTTCCGCTGACACCAATCGTCCCCACTTGGAAAACATCGACCACAACTAGGTTTTTTTTACGTGCCGCACGACTGTCCCTAGTCAGATTTCGGTTGATTCTAGTGGCCTTAACCCCAAACGACACCACCCTTGCACTCGCAAGCATCTCCCCTTCAAAACCCCCAACCTTCCCAACCACCATTGCTTGCTGTTCACCGTCGCCACTCAACTTTGGGTTTTGCGAAATCAGTTGAAATTAGAGTTCGATTGGGTTGCGGAATTGATTTTTGATTTGTTTGGTTTTTGATTTAGTTTTTTTTCTTTTGCATTTTGTCTCTATTTTTGTATTTTGTTTAATTCTTTATTTTGATTGTTGTGTTGCAGGGAAAGAAGAAAGGCCGATTGTGGTGGTTTGGGAGGGGGTAGTTTGGCCCGCTGTGGTGGTGATCTGGGATGGGGTAGTTTGACTGGTTGTGGTGGTGGTTTGGAATGGGTTGTGAAGAATAGTAGGAGAGATGAAGAAGAAGAAGGTCCAAGGGTAATTTGGTAAAAGAACCCTCTGCCCCTTGGTTTTATGAAACTGGAATTCATGAAACCAAGGGTACCAACCTAGGATTTCACAAAACCTTGGGTGGGAATATGTCGTTTACTCTCGTATTAATTACCAAACTAGTTAATTAATGTTTAGATGAACAATTATTAAACAAACCAAGCTTTTGATTGATACATTTTACACTTAATCTGTTAAATTAAATAGTAAAACCTTGATGAAATACTAACAGCAGTGGAAAAGTGTTATTTGATACTTGAGGGGGAATTGTTATTTACTGGTATTTTAAGGAGAAATTAATTTTGGAGTTGGGGGTGGAGGGGAAAGGTAGCATATTATACTAAAAGCCCTACTTTCTTTTGACTGAAGAAATTTTGTTCCCAATTGTCTCGTTCAATAACATGTGGAGGCTTCCAGATGTACTAATAGTGTTGATCAAAATTTTCTGGCAATGCTGCAATCAGCAGAACTCTGTAGATAAATATAACACCTCTCTTCTTAGGGGGTGACTTCCGTGATAGACCTTTCTAAATTTAGAAAGATCAAACCACACAACACCTCCCCCATAATATTAGTAAATTCAACAGCCCATGTTTAGACTTTATATAATCAAGTCAAAAATATATTTTAAGAGATGATGTGAAAACTGAAAAGTACATGGACAAGACAACCAAATTGGATTCTTACTTTTAAAATAGTAGTTGTATTCAAGTGGAGTTTTTGCTCCACCAATGCTCTTACGCCAACGCTAGCGGCGTGGCGGCAAATGATGAGCATGCCTAACCGTCAATGAGCCGCCAACCGAGTCAAAATCTCGTGTCCACGACGCGTTCCTTCGACTCCACTTCCGTTTCCTTTTCTGTCAATATTTCCAGGAAACTGCACATGCCATTCATTAGTTTGGTTATAAATAACCTTAGTCACGCGCTCTCCTCGCATGAATTATCATTCAAACCGCTGAGTTTCTGTTTCTCTCTCAGTTAGAATTTCGCATTTGTGATTCGTTCAATATTCAAGAATGAGTCAGGCATGAGATCGTATGCTGTTCCAGTCATCGGATTTGTTCTTCGCTCTGCTTCAACTTGGTTTTGGACAGAGCATATCTCCTTCACCTGCTCCATCTCGGACTACGATGGTATGTTTCTTGATTATTCTTTGGTTGCATATCTTTATTATATTCACATAATTATAAAGTCGCATCTCTTTACAGTTGCATCGATCGATCAAGGAATTGCTTACTTTCTTCTAATGGTGGCTTTAGCAGTTACATACCTCGTACATTAATTAATGTCGATTTCTTCCAACCCATTTTATTCTTTCACTCCTTGGAGAAATAATGAGCCCATATTCTTTTTGTATCTCAATTAATTTCTCTCTCTTGTATATGCAGCTACATCTTTAATATATTTCTTTGTTTAACTTGAGATAAATTATTTCTTAATATATGTGATCTTTTTGAACAAGAATTCCCTTGTATTTCATATTTGCCTAGGAATTTTGAACACTAATGAAATTGATCGAGAAAATCTGTCCTTCATTATTTAGGTTTACCATTTAGTATCAATAAAGATAGGTTCATAACTCAATCTTACAAACTCTTTCATAATTTTGATGTGGTAATTCGTAATTGGATAAGTAAGACTTATTGCGAGCGTCGAGCAGACAAGACCAATTTTTTAGTTGACCAATGATATACTATGTCGAGTTTGTGATATTAAATTATTATTGTTTCGATGAGATCTTTATGCTATACTAGAAAATTCATAATTTATTTGGTTCGAGAAAAAAAAAATCTACCATTGATAAGATTGGATGAGTCTTACAATATGAATGAACCCTCAATTCAAACAGCGAAATTCTCAAGTAGCCATGTAAATTTAGATCCTGCGATTTCCCGATTTTAACTTTCTTTTTTTTTCACTGAAACACCCTATATCGAGTCCACACCCAATATCGAATTCGAATTGTGTGAATTTCTGAAAACCTTTTCTATTTCCAGAAATTCTAAAACCGTTTCATTTCTTAGTGTCAAACTAGGATCCATAGTTCATAGTATAAAAATAGAGAATGTATTTTCTTTTCCCTAAAAAGACAGATTTGGAGATTATGTAATGCTTACTCTCAAACTCTTTATTTTCACCGTAGTGATATTCTTTGTTTCTCTCTTCATCTTCGGACTCCATCTAATGATCCAGGACGTAATCCTGGACATGAATAAAAACGTTGTATTAAGATAATACAACTTCCGTCGTCGTCTAGTGTTGCTGTAAATAGTAATCGACAATCGTTATAAGATAATACAACACATTTCAAGCTATTGGGTTGAAGATATTAAAGTAAAATTCAAAATATTAATGATAGAAAGCAACACAGAGAAAAAAGGGAATATCTTTATGGACCTTATTTTCAATTATGTGTCAATATTCCATTGTGTGGTTGGATCTATCCCAAATAATTGTTTATTTATCCTTTCCGATCGAGGGAGACCATCCCAATATTTTGTCAATCTGCTTTTATCTCTCAATAAAATAAATATCTCATACTTTGTTTTCAATATCCTATATATTAAAAGATACTTTTTTCATAAAAAAAAGGATGAAATATTATTAATGATGCTATTAGCACCTACTAGATCTCACTTCTAAATAAACGTCGGTAAAAGTTTAAAGAATTACTAAATAAGTATTAAAAAATAATAAGTTAGTTATAAAAGTAGAATAAAAATAAAGAAAAAAAACAACTGTTTTAACATTATATAGCGCAAATTGATACATTGGAAAATTAAGAAAGTTTTGAATTTATAGTTTTAAACCGAAGATTTCGAAGAAAATGTTAAGTTGGTGAAGATGAAATACAAAGCATTGAAATTGAAATCTTATCGCAGATCCAATCCTCCAATTCTACAATTTCTTTTTACCTTCTCTCCATCCAAATGCTTCAATTTCACTCATTTATGTTATAAATGATGGTTGAAGAATAATATAATTTTTTAAATATTTTTCTTCTTTCATTTCCTCTTTTTTTTTTTTAAATAATTTCTAGAAGTCCATATAATATTATATTACATATTTAAAATAATAACATTAATAAATAAATTATTGTTTATCTCTTGGATCATCATTTTTTTTCATCTTATTATTTTGTATCAATTGCTTCAAAATTATAAAAGAATAAAAATAAAAAAAAACCAAAAAGGGGACAAGTTCCAAGTTTTGAGGTATCTGGATGCTCGTTGATGGGTTTCCAATGATATGTTCTCTTTGGGACTTGAGGTTGATATAGTTTTGTCCTAAAACGTTTTTAGGTAGTGAGAATATCTTGGTGCTATATAAACGATCAAAACCTCGTCTCCTAATCGATGTGAGACTTTGACACCAACACATATATCGCTTTTTTTTCCACAAATTATGACAAAATTGTTGAGTTATCAGGTAAAAGTATTTTAAAGCATTAAAATTCAATACAACTTATATAATGTTAAAACGTAATCTTAACTAGTTAAATATGCTTAAAGTTTATTAAAATGTGAATTGTTTAATCTAGAGTTAATGTCTTTTCCCCACCCAAATAATGATTATGAACACTTTCTCATCCACAAATTTTTAAAATACCACTTTAGTACCAAAATTTTATTCTGATACGAGCAAAAAGCAAACTCGGTCCAGACTGTTGGGGCTTTTGAAGAGAGGAGACCGATGAGTCTTTTGGTGGTGGAAGATTTTTTAGTGGTTGGATTGACCGGAATTTGACTTGGAAAGGCGGCGGCGCAAATCCTAATCGCTTGATTGTTGGCGATTGGCTGTCAGCGAGAGTATGTTTGAAGGGTTTTGATGGTGATGATCGGTGAAAATTGTGGTGATGTAGGGTCGCAATGATGTCGGAATCGGAAATGAAATATAAATTTGGATAATAAATAGTATTTTAAAAGTTTGTAGGTGGAGAGTATTATTAAACCATTATTTAGGTGGAAAAAAGTCATTCACTCTTTATCTAATCCATCAAAACTATTCAACTTCATGCACTTTTAATATGTAAGAAGGGATAAAGGTGAGGGACAAAAATATGACCTAAATTTATTAAAAACTATGTACACACTTTATTTGGTTTAAAATAATATGAAATGAAAACATTGTAAAATTAATGTATCCTTCGTCCGATCAAATCATACGGCTAGAAAGTTAATTGATGAATAAGTGACCATAAAACTCAACATAACTCCTGCACTTATAAATTTCTTTAACAGTTGGAATAAAGCTACCCTACAGTTGCATCACAAATAAGAAAGTACACTTCCATTAAAAACCCGACACGCTATACACCATGCTATCGTAAGCCGTCTCTCTCATTACCTTGTCTCTCTCACACAATACACTACCAAGTCACCGACCGTCAAAACTGCTCTTATATTCTCTTCATTGAAGGAAAAAAAAAATTAAAATAAAAACAACCCATTACGCGAGTGAACGGATATTATAGAAAAACTTGATTGTTACACATCTGTTAGGGTATGTGCTCGATATTTATATGCAAGTTTACCGTCTTATCTTGCTTTTTCATTGATATTGTGCTTTCTTTAAAACCAGTGAAAAGGTGATAATTATTTTGGTATCTATTTGGGTTCCTTTGATGCTCTCTTGTTTCTCATGATGCATGGATTTTGTGTCTTGATCCTTTTAGAGTTTTTGTTTGCTTGATTGTGTTTGGATGGGTTTTGGATGATCGTCTGATATTTTGCGGGTGAATTGTGACGGGTTTGGTTGATGTCGGTCTCATATTTTTGTTAGAAGTGAAGATTTTAACTTTATGCTCAAATGAATTTTTTTTTTTTTTTTTTTTTTTGTGTGTTCAATTTTGCTTTTTATTTTTCCATTTCTTGCATTAAGTAGCTGAGTTCTGGGTGATTATTTATTAGATTGAATTTGGAATTGATCGATGACTTTACTTGGTGTTTGTGCGTGCTCCCTTTTTAGTTGGTTGTTGATGTTGGATTGAATTTGTGTTCATTGGATTTTTGGTAAGCTCATAACATCAATGATTGTTTTGTTTTATAACGAGGCTTAGAGTAGACATTGATATAGTCAAGAGGTGCATTATTTGAAGGATTTTCATAGTTTGATTCCTAATGGATATAAGTTGGCAATGCAGTTCAGAGAATGTAATTGAGTTTTCTGTTTGGTACCTCATGATTGTCTATTAGTGTCTAATGGCTCATCCAAATAGAAAACAGTTAACTTTTGCTGTCATGAATTCTTGTTGTGTGGCCATATTGTGTATCTTTGCTTTGTTCTGATATGTTCCTGTTGCTTTGTTTTGAAATGCGTATATTGAATATGTATTTTGTTTATAGCATTTTCAATTTTGGATCGAAGGTCTTAATTATCTGCCAGAATAAACACTCTTATTTTGTAGAGTTTCAAATGAATGCCATGTGTTTTATATTCTATCTTTTCTTAAATTTACATAATGGAAGCATTTTGCTAAATATCTGAACTTGAGTCTGTTGAACAAGTTTAAATTTGAGTACTTACTATTAATAGGTCTTCTTTTCTGATTAATGTTTTCTTATATGAATTTCGATAGTGTAAATTCATAGGTTATTAATATTTCTTCGGGCTTGGAGATTAAGGATAGACTGAGATTAATCTTTGCATGGGAAAAGAATGCCAGATTTGCAACGTGGAATTCGTCGATCAAGAGGCTTAATAAAAGCCAGGAGAACAATGTTTGTGTAGCTCAAACTCCGCAGCTTGGTGCTGGAAGAGGTATGACTCCCAAGCCCTGTCTTGATATAATTTGTAAGAAATCCATTAAGCTGATTTTTTCTTTGTCCATATCCAGCCCCAGCGGGTAGAGGTAGAGGTTCTAGAGCAATGAATCAAGAGAATACCAAGCGTTTTGCTGCTGGGTTCATGGTCGGGGTGGCACAGGTTTGGATTTGCCCAAAACAGGTAGTTGAGAAAAAGGCTGAAAAGTTGTTAGCGTTGAGGAGGAAGGAAGCATGAGTCCACTTCCCGAAAAGGTAGTTACTTTCGATGTTTTCTTAGCTGTTACTGTATTATTAGGGGCTCAACTTTCTGAGATATTTTTTCTCTTCTTCTTCTTCAGTTTATTTACTAAACCTACTTAATAATGATGATTTTTTATTTTAAGCTTATTATATGATTTATGTTACTGGATCATTAATTTGTATTTTCGTACTTATGATCACAATGCAGGAGGATATGTTGTGAACACTTGTAAGTAAAAGAGTAGATGCAAAAGCAATTAATTCTATCCTATTCTAAAATGAAAGGCACACTTTTGTTAAGCCCAAATTAATACTTTTATCTTTCTCAACTATTGCCATTGTAGTTCATTCTTTCATTAAGCTTTAAATCTTTGATGGGATCTCTTTGCAGTGCTCTGAGTATTATATATATTCTTCTTACTGTGACAAGTAATCAAAGTATACATATTCTGGCCAAATATTTTGAACTCTAGTAATTATTATATGCACTTAAGCTGTATTTCTGTTTTTAGCCAAAATTATGTGGCTGTTGTTAAACATTGACAACTTTGGTTAATCACGTTACATGTCCTTATAGCTTTAATTTAACACAACCTATTTCTTTATGTAGTTTCTATCTAATCTACTGTCTGCATTTCTACTACAGATACAGTTTGGCAACTCCCCTGTGTACAAGGTAGAGAAAAAGCTGGGAAAAGGGGGATTTGGACAAGTTTATGTTGGAAGAAGGGTGACTGGTGGTGCAGGGCTAACTGGGCCTGATGCCTTTGAGGTTTTATTCTCGTGTGCAGTTCTGTTGAATCTGTGTTAGAATCTTTTTGGAAGTTGACTCTGTCGTTAATGGCATCCTGCTGTTATGTTTGTAGGTTGCTATGAAGTTTGAGCATCGAACTAATAAAGGGTGCAGTTCTAGCCCTCCTTATGAGTGGCAAGTATACAGGTAAAAATGCGTTCTTACTATTTTTTGAATTCTGATTTTTATGACCTAACTAGTCTATCGGTTTCAAAATTACTGTTTAGCACCCTTAATGGTTGTTATGGACTTCCTTTGGTCCATTACAAAGGTCAGCAGGGAGACTACTATATCCTTGTGAGTTTGCAATTTATGCTTCTTTTACATTTCATGGTTATAGTTTGAAGATGTTTTTTTCTTATCATCCTCATGGATGATCTTCCTAGTCTTTCTGTACTAATCTTTTTGGGGGATCTGTGAATCCAGGTCATGGATATGCTGGGCCCAAGTCTATGGGATGTTTGGAACACGAACAATCAGATGTATGAAGCAATTATTATCCTTTTCTCTTTTTAATAAAAAATTATTATAGTAGTTATCCAAAGCTACGTTCTGCCTTTGGTTTCAAAGTTCTTCTGATTGACACTTTCTTATTTCTCATTGTCTCTGCTCCTGGTACAGGCTGTCTGAAGAGATGGTGGCTTGTATAGCAGTGGAGGCAATATCAATTCTACAGCAGCTTCACCTCAGAGGGTACCTTGAAATTGTTATGTTCTGTGGATGTTTTTTCGTTCATGCTTTTATTGTATCTTGTCCACAATTTGTTGTTTTCTACCTCAGTTTTGTACATGGAGATGTTAAGCCGGAGAACTTTTTGCTTGGCCAGCGTGGAACACCTGATGAGAAGAAGTTGTATCTAATTGATCTTGGTTTGGGTATGGCTTCTCTTGCAATCAAGTTTTGAAGCACACTTAATGGCTTATGGAGATGCTCCTGTATTTTCTGTCGTGGATAATTGTAGAATAACTGGTCTATTATTGTGTCTGCTTCAGCTTCAAGATGGAAAGATGTAGCTTCTGGACGTCATGTAGATTATGATCAAAAGCCTGATGTTTTCAGGTAATTACAGTCTTCCAACTGGGGATGTAAGCTTGTTCTTTTAACACAGTGGCTGATCAGGTCGTGGAAGTAGTTTAACTTCATTTGCATGTTTCATATCTTACATATTAGGCGGTTATTCCATATGATAATGTCTTCTAGTTATGCCTTATTGGATAGCTACGACTTATTTTTCCTGGTTTATCTTCCTTATGATTAAATGCTAAAAAAACATTGTATGTTGTAACATCCAGAAATATCTTATACTTGTTACAGGGGAACCGTACGCTATGCAAGTGTGCATGCTCATCTAGGTAGGGTAGGAAGTCGAAGGGATGACCTTGAGTCATTGGCCTATACCCTCATATTCCTTCTCAGAGGAAAACTTCCTTGGCAAGGATTCACTGTGAGTTGATTCAACTGTTTATGTATTTCTATTGTAACTTCCTAGCTTTTGACTGCTGAGCATTAATCTGATTATAAGATATTCCGCTGTGCCATTTATTTTTTATGCAGGGAGAAAATAGGGGATTCCTTGTTTGTAAGAAGAAGATGGGAACTTCTTCGGAGATGCTTTGCTGCTTGTGTCCTCCTCCTTTTCAGCAGTTTCTTGAGATGGTGACCAACATGAAATTCGATGAAGAACCCAACTATGCGAAGCTTATTTCCCTTTTCGACAATAGCTTAGGCTCCAATGTGTTGTTGCGACCTATCAAAACTGAAGGAGCTTTTAAGGTTGTTTCCAGGCATCTAAGTTGACTTGTTAATTTTTCTATTATACATGGCTTCCTTCTAAATATTTATTGATAAATCTTTTATGCTCTTTAGGTGGGTGAAAAAAGGGGAAGATTTCCTGCTGATTTGGAAGATGGTGGACAGTTTAAGAAGAAAGTTCGGCTGGGTTTTCCAGCTTCTCAGTGGATCTCTGTCTACAATTCGAGAACACCAATGAAGCAAAGGTAAAGGATGCGATGCAATTTAGGTTTTATAGCATGTAGAGCCCCTAATCTCTCTACCAAGTCAGTGAAGATGAATCTAGAAATTACTCGGTTCATAATCTTGATAAAGGCTTTTGATGCCACTAGTGAGCTGAGTTAAAACCCTTCACCAGGATTGGGAAGTCCTACCCTGTTCTGCATCATCGGAAACTAATTATATATATATATATATATATTTTTTTTTTTTTCTCTCAAAAAGGAAGAAGAAGAAATAGAAAGGCAGTGGCCAATTCTATTTATTTTGCTTAGATTTTTGTTTCTAATCATCATTATTACTAGAGTGTTGTTCTGGTGTCATTAGTTATGGGCAATCTTAATGCAGGTACCATTATAATGTTCTGGATTCGAGACTTCACCAACATGCGGAAAAGGGCAAGGAAGATGGTTTGTACATTAGCTCCGTAGCTTCATCCAAGAATTTGTGGGCGATTGTTATGGATGCAGGAACAGGGTTTTCTTCCCAGGTTTATGAATTATCTCGTAGTTTCCTGCACAAGGTTGGTATTACTAAAAACTCTTTGCCCACCTTTTAGTACTAATTGAATCATTTCAGCAAGTTCATTTCTTCTATCCTAATTATTTTCGTCAGGAGTGGATAATGGAACAGTGGGAAAAGAATTACTACATCACTTCAGTTGCTGGTGCATGTAACGGTAGCGCCTTGGTGGTTATGTCGAAGGGTAATAGAAATTTACCAAGTTTTTTCCTATATTTGTCTCTTTGTTTTGTTTTTCATGCATTCATATTCAATCCGACATCTGAGATAGTAAAGTTTGGTACTCTAAATTTGTTTTGATGATCAGAACAAATTTGCTATGGCATTGGGGCCGGTGCCTTTGTGGACTGCCTAAGCCACTTGAATAAGCTTGGACGTAATTGTTCCATATTTGCATGGCAAAAATTGCACTTTGATTTCTAGATGTAATATTCATTATTAGACCTCATTTGCTGCGGAATTGGGCTGGTGCCTTTCTGTACCCCGCCAAAGCCACTTGAATTAGCTGAAGACTTCAGCATTCCATGTTTGCATGGCACAAATTGCACTCTAAGTCATAAATTTCTAGATGTGATAAATGGAATTCTGAGGACATTTTGATGTTGCATGATCAATATTTTTTATGGGCTTTTTTTTTTTTTCATAAATTGGTTTAAGGTTTTAACTTTTTGCCAGATAGCGCTTCTTTAGCAGAATCTACTTATGCACCATAAAGAAGTATCTTCTTGTGAGTTGGACTTAAAACAATATATTAAGTAGAATTAGTGGCAAGATGATGCCATAGATAAGGAAGCTTAATTCAGATAACTCATTTTGACACAGTCTTCAAATTGATTGACCAGTTTCTGGTTCCTTAATCTTGCAATTGATGTTTAGCTGTTCAATGTTTGTAGTCTAAGCTACTAATGTATCCTTTTTCCGCTTGCTTCTGAAGGTACACCTTATACTCAACAGTCCTACAAAGTTAGTGATGTATTTCCTTTTAAATGGATCAATAAGAAGTGGAGAGAAGGCTTCTTTGTAACCTCTATGACTACAGCAGGTAGCAAATGGGGAATTGTCATGTCCAGAAATGCTGGTTATTCTAATCAGGTTGTTCAATTTTCATCTGTTATACACTCTTGTCTGATGGAATACTGCAGAAAGCACTTACATCTTTTGTATTCTGTTATCAGGTTGTTGAGCTTGATTTCCTTTATCCTAGTGAAGGGATCCATAGAAGATGGGAAAATGGATATAGAATTACCGCAACTGCCTCTACAGAAGATCAATCTGCATTTATACTTAGTGCATCCAAGAGAAAATCACAAGATATAATGCAAGAAACTTTGCGGACATCTGCTTTTCCTTGTACCCATGTCAAGGTACATCTAGATTGGATTATCCCACATTTTCATTTCTGCGATAGTAGTTTTCTGGGGAGCGTTTACATTACTGTTTGAGATGATTTGATGCTATATTCTTTGGTTTTATGTTAGTTTGTTTGTGTGCTTTATATGCCTTTTTTTGAAACTTCTAAAATTGACACAATTCCCGATGTATGTTTTTCCCAAAAGTTGGTGAGGGTTAAGGCTAGTAAATTTATTTTGGCGGAGCTTGTCATAAAAAATGGTGCATACAAAAATATCTCTTGGTCTCCCCGACGGGTGGACAAATGCAGTATGGTTTGATATTTTGGCCGAACCATACTGTACCAAAAAAATTTGTAAAAAAAGACTGTACCATAGCATACCATATAAGTTTAAGAACCAAATGATATCGTACCGAACCGAAAAAATTGGTACGGTTTGGTTCATTGGTTTTTTTGTGGGGGGCTTTTTGATATTTTTAGGGGGGGTTTTATAATATTTTCTTGGGGGGGTTTTGCAATTTCAGGGAGTATTTGAAAAAAAAATTTAAAGGCAAAAAGATAAACGGTTCGGTTTTAGTAAACCAATAGCCGAAAATCGTACTGTACTGTATGGTTCTTAGAAAAAAGAATGGAATGGTTTTTTGTCAAAAAACCATTCCGTACTGAACTGAACAGTTTCATGGTTCAGTACGATTTCACCCTTTTTTTTGTCCACCCCCTAGTCTCCCTGTCTCACAAAACACTATCAAAATACCTTTTGGTTTCAGATATCATATTACTCTGAGGTGAAAGTGCAAACCAAGGATACTCAAGTTTTGTTGATAGGGTTTTGGGAAAAACATTGTCCTTACCCCTTTAATTGAGACCAAGCTATTCTAATTTAGTTATAATTTTGGTGCTACCTACTTTCATTAAAGTTTAAAGAGTGATTTTACTGTTGCCAACTGAATAATATTGTGCACCTTTGAATTACGCTGATTAGTGGTTGGAAATTTGTGTCCACATCTTAAGTCATATCTTTATTTGTTTACTCTGCATGGAGTCCCTGTGTTGCTAACTTCATATTTTGGATGGTTCAAACAGTAATTGCTATCTGGAGCAAGGTTGTGCACTGATCTTTTAATTTTTTGTTCTTTGAGTTGATGGAATGTAATAATTTGGGGAGTAAACAACCTTATAAAAATGGTTTTTGCTCCAAATCATTGCACAAGTGCTAATGATAATTCATTGAGATCCCTTTGTCAGCAATTTAGTGGACTCTGAGGGCCATTGGTGTCTTAGTCATCAGGCATTATAATGATTGTTTTCTGTGTTTACACTTTACAATATTGAAACTTTTCAAAAGGTTACAGTTGGAGTTTCTGTTCAGTATTTGTAGTGAAAATGATTAGTTTCATGTTATAGATAATAATTATTTTCTGTTCTTGTCTATGTGGCAGGACAAGTGGTCAAAAAATCTGTATATTGCATCCATCTGCTATGGGAGAACAGTATCTTGATTTCTGGATTTGGAAGGAGAACTGCACCTGTAAATCAAATGCAGGTAGATATTCCAGTCTAACGCCAAACTAGATATTTCATATTTTCATTTGTTATGGGGCCTTGACAGATATGGCCATGAGTTTTTGTTGTTTTACTGCATCTGAATCGTTTCTCAGTGTGTTGTTTGATATGATTGTATGTTATGCTTACAGTTGTTGTTGCACTAATATAGACAGCATGACATATCATATGATCATTTCCAAATCTACTAACCGCATGAAGTGTCTGTTAGTGTGTTTCTTTGCTTAGTTGTAATATGTGAATCAATTGCTGTATGGCTTAGATGAAAAAAAATTCTAAAGCCAACCCACTTAGCTTATTGCCTAAAAAACATATAATCAAAACCAATGGAGGATTAAATCAACCACTAATTATCTTTGCATCTCTGTGCTTGCAAACACACTAGAAATACTTCTAATTTAATTGAATGCAGTTGGAAAAATTTTCCCTTTATGAAGATTATCGTAGGTTGACATTACATTGCACCTTTCTTGCAAAATGATTCTATCAATGCCCATATTATCTTGGGTCAGTTTTGGAGTTTATCCTCAGAGATAAGCAAATCCTACATCTTATGGCTAAGGTACTGATGATTCTGCCTTGCATAGGAATTCTTGCGCTTACTTTTTTATGTGGACATTGTTCATCGCTTACTTTTTTATGTGGACATTGTTCATGCAATAATGCCTTTTGGTTTGATTTAGCTGCATCACTGCATTTAGATTCTATATATCTTAGTGCATAAATATTGTTTTATGCTGTATCTGTATTAGAGGGATTTTGACTTTGTACCATAATTTTAAGATTTTACAGGTGGTTGGATTGCCTAAGAAAGGCATTGGCAGTCCTTTTGGATTAATCTATAGTATGCAGAGAAAAGAGCTGTTGTTGTCATGTAGAGATCACCTTTGTGGAGAAGTATTGAGAAACTTGAATTGGGCGCCGTTTGAAAATCCAGACTCGTGGAAGAGTTTATACAGTGCCGGAGCCATCTTTTTAGTATTGGTTCCAGAAGACTTTTCTCTCGTCATATTGATGACATTGACCTCTTATGCGGTTGAAGTTTGAAGAGGTTCTGTCGTATTACTACAGATTTGAGAGAGTTCAGGGAGTTACTATAAATATCTCACGTGACTACCATAGCTGTAATCGATTGGGAAAATGTAAATTGTTGGAACTTTCTGTTTAAGAAATTTGTTCTTGTTGAGGCATTGCTTTAGAGTTTGAGCGGGGTTGATTTGGGTATTGGGTGCATGTCTACGTGGAAAAAAAAAAAAAAAATTTACAGTGGTCGCATTCGCACTTACAACCAATTAATTATGAGGTTATCATATCCAACACACTTGATATGTATTCGTTTTATGACTAATTGGTTGTACAACCATTGGAGTGGAAGTCTCTCATGTATCAACATGCTTGCATGCTAGCATTTTTGGAGATTTGAGACAGTATGATCATCTGCCAGACAAACTACTGAACACATTAAACACAAATCTCTCCTGAAGTCCACTTTAAATTTGAACTAAAAACAATCACTGTAGTCAGATGGTAAAAGAGGTAAAAGAAGTTTTATGAGCTCTTCAATTTGAGTCTCTACATGCTATAGGGGTAGTCATTAAGGAGTTTATTTGCCCATTGACTTTAAGCTCTTGGGGGATAAGCATTGTTTTAAACTCGGACCAGACTGGTCGAAATGGGGCTCGATAGTTTCTTGGGTCCGATTCAAGTTTTAAGGGGTTTTTTTTGTAATGTTTCAAATTTATAGGGATTAATTGTAATCTATATGGGTGTTTGGAGATATATCAAAAGTTTAGGGATTGGTAATTTTTTTGGATATTTTTGAAATAAATAAAAATTTAGGGATTAATTTGAAAATTTTAGGGGTATTTTTGTAATATATTAAAATTAAAGAGATTAATTTATAATTTTTTTTAAAAATCTCAGCTGGTCGACCCGTCGCCCGGTCACTTTACTGGGTTTCACAACAAGTTGAGTTTTAAAACAATGAGAATTAATTGAGGTAGGTGCAAACTGATCTGAATACCTTCAATCATCCAAAAAAAAAAAATTTGAACTATCTGAATCCGGTTAATATTACAACTAAAACGAAATTTTCTAGGGTGCAGATCATATCAACTTAATTTTATGATTTAACCTCTTGATAATCTTTATTCTCTGACTCATTATAATCTAATGCTTATTAGAAAGAAGTTAAAAAAATGTAATTTTTGTTATGCTGAAGTAGTCAAATCCCTTCTTAGGTCTGCACTGAATCATTATGACAAAAATAATAATACTAAATCCCTGCAATTGATGCCAATTATGTTACAGGCACAACTGGTTTTATTACAGTATCATTTTCCCAGTAAATGCTTCCTGCTGAATGGAATGAGGTGGTGCCAACATGCGTGCTTATTGACTATATTCAGACCTGGAGACAAACGGTTTTAATAATAGGGAAATAAACATCCTGTACATATCTACAAAACTGAGGAATGGGCAAGTTTTCTTTCTTTCCGTCTGGGTTCTGAAAAAGTTAGATGAATGGCAGCCGAAAGGTTTTCGCTCGTTTTGGATGCCAATTATTAATTTTATAAATTAAGGTTAAAGAACCACATGGGTATGTTTGTATAGAATGCCGCAGCTTAAAAGTAGAAACTGTGCAGTCACGTGCATCACATGCGTGTATTAAAGTATGTGATGGGATCCACTTTATGCGCAGAAGTAAATGGGAAAATCCATGTCACTCTGTGTTGGTTTATGATAATCAGCCTTCCACTTTTCAAAGTTACAGGGGTTTGCTTGCTTTGGTCAAATTAAGTAAAACAACTTGAAACTCTCTTTAAACTTTTATGTAAGAGCCATTAGCCACCCAACTTAGACCATTCGAATCTATCACTCTTGTACAGGACAGGAACCGGGTCCATATGCATTTATGTTGCGTCCCATATGCCATTGTCATTCTCTGATTGGGGTCTCAAACTTCACCTGCAATTAACAACCTCCCTCGCTCTTGTGCAGTAATGGATATCAGAAACTGCTGGTGCAACTCGGACGCAGACAATAGAGCCATTCGATTGGGGCAGAGTTATAACGAGGTTAGGCCTGTGAACTCATCTTCTACCTCTGGATTAACCAAGTTAAGGTGGAAAGTTCTGTGGATGAAGTTTAAGAAAGAAAAGAAGAAGATGTTTGAGTCTGTATCTCCTTTGCAGGTTCCTTATGATCCCTACACTTACTCACAGAACTTTGATCAAGGGTTTGCATGGGAAGAGCCTGATAATCTCTCCAGATCATTCTCTGTGCGTTTTGCTGATCCTTCGAGTATATTTCTTAAGAAAACAGAGATGTGATGGAAGATATAAACAACAGTCTCAATTCCTAAACTTGGTTTAGTTTGTATCTTGCGTATAAATATCATTGTTACTTGATTACATAAAGCCTTTTCAGTAGTGTTTTAACTATTAATCTCACTCTGTAATGCGTGCAAAGATGCTCTATTGATTAGGATCTTCTATCTTATTTGTGGAGTTTTCTCTAGCTTGCATCTTAATTGATCATTTTTCCCTTTTTGGTTTAATGTAAAACTATGGTAAAGGGAGAGGAGAGAAAGATAAAAAACTAGAGAAAAGGAACAAGCTTGCAAACTCAGTGTTCTTGCTTACAGGATTCAGGTCAAGAAAGTGATGCTTGAATTGGATGGAGAATTTTAATCCACCAATTATCCAAATAGAATATAAGATAAGAAAGCTTGATATTCCAATTCCTTTTACTTTGCTTGCCACCAAGATGAAAATGCTTCAGTTAAGAGTGAGAGAGCCTTTAACTTTTGACATCTAAGCTTTTCTGTGTTCTCGTGGAATCTGGAAGCTGCAGTTGATCCAAAATGGAGAATAAAGAAAATAAAACGTCTTTTTCTTGAAAACAATGGATAATGAACATATCAATGTTAGATTTTTAAGTGTATTATGGTCCTCTACTTTTAATATAATTATTTATGGTCCTATATCACTTTTATGTTGATGTAGATTATAATAAATAAATACATACGGTTATGTCTGTTGGACAACTGCATTTATAAATGAGATTTTATAGGTTCCTATTTGATGCAATTTTTCCTTTTTGATTTTTAAAACCATCGTTCTAAAAATTACAGTTAGTGAAAGACTTTGTATTCTAAAGAAGCAAGAAAACTAAACAACAATTGTATTGGTTGGAGGTTTGTAAATTAGTTTCGTATATATTCCATGAATATTTAGATATTTATAATTATGAGTATTTAGATGTTTATAATTGATTGTATTATGAACTTTTATATGAATATTGGTATAGATATGTACTTACAATCAAAACAAAATTAAAGAACTGTGAAATTCACGTTTAAGAAGCTTGTGAAGTGAGCACTCGTGTAAAGGCACGCAAATGGATGCGATGTCAAGGCTTGTTTGACTACCATTTCAAATTAACACTGGTACTTTTTCTCTCAAAATAACTCTCATATCTCAAATTTCTCTCAAATAACCCCGGTCAAGCCAAAAATCTAGCCTAATTTTGACGCCATTTGACATCTCTGACACCACCATCAGCATCCCCTTATCCTCTTCACTAAAACCCCTAACTTTTTCACTTGATTGCACCTCAGTGAGGTACCGAAATTTGGCTGGAAAGGGGCGACAAAATGCAAAAACCTAAGGGAGAGGCGACAACTATCGCAGGGGATTGCCATCGGTGATGTTGGGGGTTTTGGTGGGAGGAAGCCGGCGATGCTATTGGTGGTCTTGGGGGTGGTTTTTGCTGTTGGGACTTGCCAGAATTTGGATGAAATGTCGATTGACACTAAAAGCAACGACCAGTGATTGGTGGGTTCAATCAGGCAGGGAGGTTAGGGGTGTTGATGTGGGGGTTGAGGGGATTATAATGGTGGTGTCGGGAAGGGTCGATTGTGTTGGAAACAGGCTAGAATGGCTTGAAATCGCCGATGGGGTAAATTTGAGAAGTGATAGGTTATTTTGAAATTTTTTTGTGGGGTTGAATTTGAGAAATGAAAGGTTATTTTGAAATTTTTATCTTTGAAATGATCCCCAAACAATTTTCTGTTAATTTAAGGGTGAGAATCTACAATTTATGAAACTAGAGGTGGCAACTTGTAGATTTGCCAAACCTTGGGTGGGAAAATGTCGTTTACTCAATGTTTTTTAAGCTACAGAAAATTTACAATTGTATTTGTTGTATAAGCAAGCATGAAGCTGTAGATTTATTCAGTTTCATGATATGGAAGAGCATTGAGCATGATCTGTCTGGGCATTTTATGCTGAAACATGAAATTATTTATGAAATTAATAGTCATTTTCAGTATGAAGAAGTTAGATCAGTTGCCATCTGTAACAAGGTAGAAGCCAGCAAACTTATCTTCTAATGCGAGTATCTATTATTAAGTTATTACCAGAAGAGATCGGCTCAAGAATATTGGTGATGCTTAGAAGGAATATTTCTAAAAGGTCTTTCAATCAGAAATTGGAGTGAACATAGTTAGTAATGAAAAAAGAAGTTGCTCTGCAATACCACAGGAGGAGGTTTAGAGCATAGGGACAAAATCGAACATTAAGCTCAATTCATGCTTCCATAAACTATATATAAACTCTGTCGGTCCGCTCTCGAATTTTGTCATTGCATTTCTTGCCACATCTACCAGATTCAGCTCAATCCATCACTGAGGTCCAGTACCAGTGAACTCATGGTAAAAAGCTTTTGTTAAAATGTGACAAAAAGGGCAATACGTCACTGTCTCTCTGTGATGGTTAATAGGAGAAAAGTAGAGTTAACTGCCACTCTACCAGTAAACTCAGCTCCATAACTGTCCCATCTTCTTTTATCGGTTAAGATTTAACGTTTGAGAAGCTGTAAAATTTAAGTATTATCATTGACGTTTAAGCGCGTTTCATCGTCCCACTCTCACAATAAATGAGGTTAAAAGTGGAAATAAATGACATCATAACTACGACGTCGTTTTCAGGCTTTGCAAAACGAAACGACACCGTTGCTTTGGGTCACACTTCACAGAGAGTTCTTCCTGGTAGAATGACGCCAGAAAATTAAGGCAGAAAGGAATTACAAACAACAAACACTACCGGTAAATATCCTCTTCATTTCTTCTCTTTAGGGTTTTTGTGTAAACCATTAAAGCTTTCACTCAAGTTTCTTATAATGGCGACTGAGTTGTCGATCAAAACAGACAGAGTGGAGCAATTCTTCGACGACTTGGAGGCACAAAGAACGATTCTTTCCTCATGCACTCAGTTATTTAAAACCCTAACCTACCATTTCACTTCCCTCCAAGAGTCCCTTTCCCATAAGTCCAAATCCCTAGAATCGAAATTCCTCTCTTTAGAATCCACCTCCAGCGAAACTCTACAATCCCTCAGCCAACGCGAGAACTCAATCCCCGAACGCGAGTCAGTCGCCATTGCTCTCCTCAAGGACCAAAAAGAAGCCGCCTTGGCCGATTTTCAAAAACCCGCCAAATCCACCGAGCTATCCGAGACCTTAAAGTCCTTGTGTCGTAAAATGGACTTCTCTGGACTATTAAAATTCATCATCTCCAAACGAAAGGAATCCATGTCGTTGCGCGCTGAGATTTCTGGGGCAATTACGGAGTCCGTGGACCCACCGAGACTGCTCCTAGACGCCGTGGAGGAGTTTTTAGTTCAGAAGATGGATAAAGTTGGGGTTACGGATAAAAGGTGGGCTTGTGGAATGCTGGTTCAAGCCATGTTTCCGGAAGGAAATAATGGTAAAAAGGCTGTGGGGCCCGAGTTTGCGAGAAGCGTGGTGGAGAGAGCGGCGGGGATTTTGGAGAGCTGGAAGGAGCAAATGTTTGATACTGAATTGGGTCCCGCGGAGGCTGTTATGTTTTTGCAAATGGTGGTGGGTTTCGGGTTGAGTTCGAGGTTTGATAATGAGTTTCTTAGGAAACTGGTTTTGGATTTTGCCTCCAGAAGGGATATGGCCAAGCTTTCGGCATGTTTAGGTTTCGGCGAGAAATTGGGAGGTTTGTTCTTTATAACTTTGAAGAAAAGAGTTATGTGGAGTGAAATGCATATTTCTTTATAAACTGCTATTTGTGTTTTCTTGTAAAGGATGAAAACTTTCTTTATATGACTGTGAAATACAATGTAGCTATTCAAATTTCCTGAGGTAGACAAGTCTGAGAATATGATATCTTTTTATATTTACTAGTCCGATAAGAGTATCAATATTCTAGTGTTCTCAGTAGCCTAAGAATTACATTTGAATGCAAAATGTTACATTTTCTTCTGCCTGATTTGTTGGTGAAAGTGGTCATGTTCTGGAAATTCTTTCCTAGATATTCCATGTCATGATGCAGCAGAAAATTGAGTTTTCAACAGTAATAATGGGCACACTGTTATATCCACTCTGGCATATGTGATTCATGTATTAATGTGAATGCATGTAGCATCATATAAAATGTGCAGGAGTTGCTGTCCTCATGATTTTATTGTTGGTTTGAAGTAATAGTGGCTATAGCTTTAGTTGGAACTAGGATTGGTGTTACTTACTTTACTACCTCTGTTACCTTCAACTGTGAAGGGTATTTGGTGAAGTGAGAACTATTTTTACATCTGGCTGATGTCTTGGAAAATCTAGTAGTACTTGAGACTTCATATATGTTTAGCTTATCATTTTCTTTAAAATTTCTGTCATGAATGCAGCTGGCGAAACATTTAGCTAATTCTTATTTTGGGAAGATACACAAATTTGTTCTCTTTCAAATGTATATATCTTCCCATGCTTGCATATATGTTCACAAATATTGTACCCGCATATATGAAAATATATATCTGATCTTTTTCCTTTCTCTCAGTTGCAGTATAACATCAATATGAATGGAAAAATTCTTACTACCACATAATCTTAGAAGTAGTGACTCTGTAATTCATGTTGTATACCTTCTCAAAATATGCATGAGTTCACAGTCCACACATCTTAATATTTTCTAGAGGTCCAATTTTTAGAAACTAGGACTCTCATTTGCTTTTTGTGAAGTTGCATTTGCTCTGATTTTAAATAAATAAATGGAAAATATGTACCTCATTATGTGGTCTCTATACCCTCTTTTGTTACTTGGTATCTACTTCTGTATCCTCCCCACAGATCAAAGATGTGTGTTGACGGTGTAGATCATTGCAATATGTTGAGCATGTCTTTTTATTTTCGATTATAGGATTCATATTTTCAAAGGTAATATGTGTACTTGAGGCAAAAACCAAATAATATGAAAAATAATGATCTATGTGATATTGGGTTTCAGAGTTTACTTTAATTTGTTGTTAACTCAACTTAGTTCAGTGTCAATGCTAAGTTTGTTGGAGTTGGCTGAATGAATTGTTTTACCCTATTTGATTGGTACTTCTATCTCCATCTCTTTCACCCTCTTTGTTTACTTTATATAATATAATAATATATGTTTTGTTTCTGTGGGATTAATTTTTAACTTCAGCCAGTATTTTTTATTTTTATTTTTATTTTTTTGTTTTCTTTACTATGTGGTCCATCTTCCCCTTTTCTATCACAACCCAAATTAAACAGATCCACCTTCGAAATTGGCAGGGGAATTTTTATCTCTAGACTCTTTCGTTCACCACAAGAAATCTAACCAACTAGACTATCTCATGAGGGATAATATAATATAAAATGCTTAAAACTAAAAGGAACTGCTATCATTAAGAAAAGATGAACTAAACGAAAACATGAATTCTCTGGTCTTTTGTTTTATGATTGGTTGCATTTGTCTATTGTATCGGAATTTTATCAATTGGCCAAGTTGATTGAAGAAATCTATGAATTTTACAGATATAATTGATGAATTAGTGAAGAGTGGTAAAGAGGTAGAGGCGGTTTATTTTGCTTCTGAATCTGGCTTAACTGAAAGATTTCCTCCAGTTTCGCTGCTCAAGTCCTATCTCCGGAATTCAAAAAAGAATGCTACAACCATATTGAAGAATGGCAATTATAGCAATGTGGCAACGGTATGTGGACTTTTACCTTCTGTTTTTGAACTAACCGTTACATGCAATAGTATTAATATATTATGATTACTTTGTATCTATAAACTATTGTACTTCCAGGAGGAATCAAGCAATGTGGAATTGAATTCCATTAAAGCCATCATTAAATGCGTAGAAGACCATAAGCTTGAATCAGAGTTCTCTGTTGATAGTTTAAGGAAGAGAGCTGCTCAGCTTGAAAAGAGCAAGGCAGAAAGAAAGAAGAGTTCAGCAACCAATAGCAAGCCCCAAAATAAGCGAGGCCATGGTTCTAGTAGTAGCCGCAGCAGTGGACCACCTGCCTTCCGGCCAGCTAAAGCAGCCAAGTTTTCAAATGCTTACCAATCTTTTGGCCGCAGGAACCCAGCCCCCCCAACACCACATAGCCCAGCGCCGAGATATTCTATTTCTACCCCATACAACTATCCTAACCAAACTGTCTATGAAGGTGCTACCGCTGCTCAATATGGAACAACTTATGTTGTGCCCCACGCACAAAGTCCTGCCGCCATCCCTCAACAGCACTACTCTCTCCCAGTAGACAGTATAGGTGCTGCTGGGTTCAGAGCCAGTGGTTCTTATAGTTCACAAACTGGGTATGGTGCGTATGATTATAGTTCTGCACCAGTGTCCTCTTACCAATCGTCATCATATACACAATAGTATGTAAGGAGCACTAGTCTGACCATTAGTCATTTTGTTTTGTAGATTTTTGGTAGTTGGCATTATATTTTTGAATTCGTTTGTTTATTACTACAACTACGGAATTAAATGTGGGAATGGTTCAGATTCCCCATAGAGGCATTATTAATTATTTTGTTTGGAAGCTGGATTTGATTCCCGTTTTCAAATTTTGACCATGCTGATGTCTTATTTTCTCTGTGAAATTCGTCAAGCTCACGGATTTGGATAAACTTGACCGACTAACCAAGCACTGCTGTCATTTTCACTTAAATTTAATTCAAGTTGCTCATTGATTGTAATTTAACAAAATAAATAAACAACTTAAAGCGTTTTAGGCAAAATGGTTTAGCAAATACTCTTTCACCTTCCAATACGTCAAACGACCATATCAATATCTTTGCAGATTATTTATTTAAACTTAAAGCTAAATAAGTTTGTTTCATAAATCCTAGATTCAAATCACTTCCTTTTTTTCATGTATCGGCTATTGACCCAATCCAGATCTTGACCATCCTCAATCGTAATATAATATACAGACGATGAATAGAACAGAGACTGCTGAATTGTCTTTTAGCAGTTCACTTCAATTAATTACATACGTTTTTCCTTTCATTTAATTAACCTTTAGTTGGCAGGTTTAAATATAAGCGGTTAACCCCATAACCTGCTGCCCATAGGTCCGTTAGGCAATTTTAGGCTCTAATTTCTCTTATTGTTATTTCCGGCTTCTGGGCTACATTAATTTATTTTACAATTTAACTTACTTGGATCATTTCTAAATACGAATTTATGCGTGATTATTATTATCGGTATATGACCAAAATCTGTTGATAACAAACTTTATGGGTGATTAATTTAAAAGCTCCCATCTGAATTTTTATATAATTTTAGAAAAACCAAAAAAATAAATCATCAAAAGTATTAGGAGATCACGTAACGGAAAAATAAATATCGAAAGAAATAACATAGGAAAATAAATCACACTATATAAAGAGACATGATGTTTACGTGATTCGACATAATTTGTTTACATCATCGAATGAGATATAAGTTTATTATACAAGAGTACCCGATATCTAATACCTAATTAATAGAGTAAAAAATAAACCTAGTTTCTACACTCACCTCATGTTATTTTTACCTACCCTTACATCACATACTCTACGCATTCTTCCTCTTATAACAATGAATTGATTTTTTTTCTTATATTTATACGTGACCCGTGAGATATTCTACTTCTAGTGGGAATCTTATTTATTCCTAATAGGATTTTCATAGTTTCTATTCCTATATATAATTGCATTCTTCTTTAAATAATTTTCTTAAAAAGATAAAATTTTACATGAAACAAATAGAAAAGTGAGTCACAATATCTCAACAAATAGAATCCGCACAACTTGTCAACAACTCAAATTATAAGTGTTGTTACGAAAACTTATAACGATCAGAGATACCTAATTAACCTTGATAAGATTGGGTAGGATGTTTGCATGATGAAGATAACCAACTAGGAAAATATTAATAAAGAGATGATAAGAGAAAAGAGAAGGTTTCTTTATCAAACAAGTCTATTAGTAAGTATAAAATTGGTTTCTTTAGAAGAAAAAAAAGAAGAAGATTAAAAAGCAGGTAGGAGAGGAATTACCGAATTAGTGTAGTTGCTCTACCAGCCTGACAGCCCATCCCAATTCCTTTTGAATTAGTGTAGTTGACTAGTTGCTGCCTAATGCCTATAGTCTATCAGCCCATCCCAATTCCTTTTTATTTGTGCACAATTCCCAACAGAACCCCCAATTTTTTTAATTATTATTGAAAACCGAAGTAAAAGATTTTTTTTTTTCAATTTAATCCACTGGAGTCCAACTAAATATCTTCTCATATATAAAACAAAGTTTGATTTAGTTACATTTTATAGTTTAACGTTGTCATAAAACATCTGTGTGTGTCATGTAGTAAAACTGGTTGTCGTATAGTTTGTCTGCATAACCGGCCGTTGTTGTGTATTTTGTAAGCTATTGTCAGAAACTAAAGAAGAAGAAGCAGTAAAGAAGGAGAAGAAGAAGAAAGAGGCAAAAGAAGTAGTATAATCTGCCAGAGATGGCCTAAGAGAAGAGAAGAGAAACAGAATAATCAATCCTGTATATTTGTATTACATGTAATGTTCTGTACCAAAAGGGCTAATTATACAAGTATAAGAATCTGTAGAAGACAATCATATATTATGCCTTAATGCTGTAACTTCACATAATTAGAGACGTGATTAGCATGAAATCTGTTATGTAATAATAACATAATATTTGACATAATGACAACTATTAATTTTCCTAATTAACTATATTCATATTTTCAAAGCTATGTCACGCATGTGTTAGGTGAAAAGCTCAGGTCATCTTCCCGACCAGATTCTCCTTTGACTCATCTACCAGTACCAATCTCCTTATATTTACAAATATTTCCTCATAGGCTAGCCATCCTGACCATTCATATTCAACTTCCCCAAATCCTCTATTAATGTATGCCTTAATAGGCTAATAGATATATAGTTTGATATTTCTGGAGGCGGCTGTGCCTGCGTCTTTTTAGCAAACCCATATACATATTATATGGTACCGTATGCCTTTTTTTCTTTTCTTAATAATACATTATAATATATACTTAATTAAATAACACATCTTAACTTAGGCTATTATACCTGTTAATTGCTTAAATATTCGCACCATGCAGGTTCAGCTATGGATGTCAAATTAATTCATTAAATAAATAGTTGTTGGTAACATTTGTTGATAAATCAAAATACTTTATCATGAGCCAAGACACTCCATCTATTTTCTCCCGCATCAAGCAGGAATCAAGTTACTTCTGGTATTTACCAAGAAGCTACAATGCTGTGAAATTCATGGTCGTAGGATGTGGCAGCAAGTCTTGAATGACTTGCGTATTATATTTATATATTTGTTCTCTCTGTTCTTTACTATTATCATGTGCTATAAATACTCCCAATGTGCTTCAAAAACGAAAACAAACACAAGGGTCCGTAATATCAGCTAGAGAGACTTCGTAAAAGATGGCGACTCATTCCAATGGAAGTTCTGAGTTTAACATCCCCAAGATAAGGTTTACGAAGCTGTTCATCAATGGAGAATTTGTAGATGCTGTTTCAGGTTTTTCAATCATCTTTCTTACTTTCTCTTTCACTTGAGATTCTGGCTTTTCGCATCTATGATTGACTTTTAATTACTTTTCTGTTGTCTTTTTAATCTTCTTATCAAGGCTTCATGCTTGACCTGTTGAACTCTATTCCATTTCTTTTCTTACATCTCATTAATTCAATCACTTGGCAAAAACAAAGCTAATTGACTAAATTAGCTAGATGAAACATTGATGAAATCCAGCTGAAAGTCCAGGTCAAAAATGGTTTAGCATACATGTTGAAATGAACTGATTCTCCCGTGCATATATGTTTTTGCTTGGAACTCTCAGTGAATGTTTTTATGCATGCTAGACTTGTTTCACTTGAAAAATATTTAGTTCAGGGAATTTTCCAATTTTTATCTCTTCATATGAAAGTCTAGAATGAACAGAAACTTACCTCTGTTCTCATCCTCTCTGGTTTTCTCCTCTTCGCATATGTTTTATGAACACACCCTTTTCATCTTTTTCTATTTCTTTATTATTTGTTCTTTCGTCTATCTTGGTTCCACTCTATGTCGCTTATGGTAAAGTGAAATAGAACGGCAAAAATTTATTCAGGCTTACCTGTACTCACGTGCTAGCTGCTTGCAGATTGTTTTACTTGCTTTGTTTATTGACCTTTTTTCGTGCATGTGTTAAGACAGATCTTGTTCATAAATAATTTGGGTTTCTTGTTTGACTTTGGCACTTTGCAATAACATCATTTATGATTTTATTATTTATCAATAGAGTCGGCTAATGAGAGGTCTTCTTCCTTGAAATGGTAAGATCATAAATATTCTTCCTTGATATGGTGAGATCATATGAAATATTTAAACATTTCTTTTAAATTATTTTAGTCTAATTATTAATTAGGTAACTTGTTTATTCATGTCTCTTTCATTCAATTTTCAATTGTTCATTATGAGGGCTAATAATATTTAAACATTTATTTTGAATTATTTTAGTCTAATTATTGATTAGGTAAGTTGTTTATTCATGTCTCTTTTATTCAATTTTCAATTGTTCATTATGAGGGCTAATAATGAAGGGTTTTTTTAATAGGGAAAACTTTTGAGACAATAGATCCAAGAACAGGTGAGGTGACAGCAAGGGTTGCTCAAGGAGATAAGGAGGATGTTGATCTTGCGGTCAAGGCTGCTCGTCAAGCCTTTGATTATGGTCCATGGCCACGTTTCAGTGGCTTTGTACGTTATGTTTCCGCCTTTATTTAATTTAAAATATTAATTCCTTTCTCTTTTATCCACAAGTCTCATTTTTTTTTTTCTTTCAATTATTGTTAAACTGAAAAGCCATTTTATTAAAGGCACAATACTAATAGAATAGTATACACGTTAAGTAGTATTTGTCAAATTATTCATTTAATTTGGTGAGAAATTTGAAATACTATTTGAATAATAGTTTTAATTATTATTAGCTTAATATAATACAATTTATAATGTAATGTTTCAATGTAAATACAGCACTTCCGAAAGACTTTTAATCATTAAAAAAACTTCTTATAATTATTTTATTTAATTAGTTGAAGGTTTTTGGTTTCTAATTACTGGCGATGGATCAGGAAAGAGGAAGGATAATGATGAAATTTGCGGACTTAATAGATGAAAACATAGAAGAATTAGCGGCAGTGGATTGTATTGATGCTGGGAAATTGTTCAGTAGGGGCAAGGCCGTGGATATTCCTCTCGGAGCCAACACTCTTCGTTACTACGCGGGAGCAGCCGATAAAATTCACGGAGAGACGTTGAAAATGTCAGGCTCGTTTCAGGCATATACTTTGCTTGAACCCATAGGTGTTGTAGGTCATATTGTCCCCTGGAATTTCCCTACTTCCATATTTTTCATGAAGGCTAGTCCCGCCTTAGCCGCTGGCTGTACCATGGTCATCAAACCAGCTGAACAAACGCCCCTTTCCGCTCTTTTTTATGCCCATCTTGCCAAGCTCGTAAGAACCAATTATCTACTTAAATTTCATAGTTTTTCAAATGATCAAATTCATGTTTAATAAGTTATTGACGTTTCAGGCTGGTATACCTGATGGTGTGATCAATGTTGTAAATGGATTTGGAACCACTGCTGGTGCTGCTATTAGCTCACATATGGACATTGATAAAGTGAGATATAATACATAGAAACTCTTTTTACAATTATCTTTCCCTAATTTTGCAAGAATAGGTTGTAAATCTAGTGAGCCTGGGTGTTTTTTACAGGTTAGTTTTACAGGGTCTACAGAAGTAGGACGTAAAGTGATGCAGGCTGCAGCAGCAAGCAATTTGAAAACAGTTTCACTTGAATTAGGAGGCAAATCGCCTCTCTTGATTTTTGATGATGCTGATGTAGATAAAGCAGCCGATCTTGCTCTTCTCGGTGTCGTGTACAACAAGGTATAGTATTTATTTATTTGAGTTATGCAAAAATACATGTAGTTTCCCTAATTCTCTTTCATTGGGTTCCTCTCAATTCCGCAGGGAGAAATTTGTGTGTCAAGTTCACGTGTCTATGTTCAGGAAGGGATTTATGATGAATTGGTAAAAAAATTGGTAGAGAAGGCCAAAGCTTGGGTAGTTGGGGACCCTTTTGATCCTAAAGTTCGTCAAGGACCGCAGGTAAGTGATGAATTTTAAGTTTTGCAATAACTTTAGTTACTAAAATCAACAAAATTCTTAAAAGAAGATTTTGACATTATATTAATATTTACGACAGGTGGATAAGAAGCAGTTCGATAGAATTCTTTCTTACATTGAGCATGGAAAAAGAGAAGGAGCCACTTTGCTAACAGGAGGTAAGCCTTGTGGCGAGAAGGGATATTATATTGAACCTACAATTTTCACCGACGTTAAGGTAACATTTTTGAACAGTTAGCATTTGGAAATCTTGATTCTAATTTCATGAATGGATTTATTATTTTCTTTAACCTATAAATCTCACAACTTGTGCAGGAGGATATGCTAATTGCAAAAGATGAAATTTTTGGTCCTGTCATGTCATTAATGAAATTCAAGTAAGTATGATATATATCCTCCCTGGAGAATTTACTGATGACCTTTCTAGCTCAATCAGGATAGAAATCTGTATTCACTTAGCGCTGATTTTATTAAGCTTTAATATATGATCACATTAAAATGTTCATATGTTTTTGGTAATTGATTTACAGGACGGTTGATGAGGCAATCAAGTGTGCCAACAATACTAAATATGGGCTAGCAGCAGGCATTGTAACCAAGAACATAGATGTGGCAAACACCGTCTCAAGATCAATTCGCGCTGGCATTATATGGATCAATTGCTATTTTGCTTTTGATAAGGATTGCCCTTATGGAGGATACAAGATGAGTGGATTTGGAAGGGATTTGGGATTGGAAGCTCTTCATAAGTATCTTCAAACCAAGTCTGTTGTAATTCCCATTTACAATTCTCCTTGGCTCTGAACACACTTGGTTTTAAAATGTTAAAAGAGTAAGTGTTGGCAAATTACATTAGCCAATGAGTTTGCAGTGCCTAGGCTGCAAATTTATCTAAATTAGGCGGAATAATCTGAGCCTACAATGAAAGCTTGTGCTTTATATTCTCGTTCAATAATCTAAATGCGTGCTCTTGATTTCATTCATATGTTAATAGATAATGGTTGCTCTAATCGGCATACCACCTTCTGAGAGGTAAATTCATTATATCTTGGGGATCCAATTAATTGCATACTTCAATATAAAATGGCAGTTTGGGTTAAATCAGACTCAAATCTAATTAATTCTTGATTAATAAATACCTTCCTTCCTTTAACTAATTAAAATACGAACGTATCATCAACGAAACTGGTAAAAACTGATTCTGGTTTACATGAAAGCTGAGTAGCATTAAATTAATATTTCTGCGGCTAAACAATTCATTTAATTTGTTTTAATTGAGTGGAACAATTGAGAGCTGTTCATTTTTATTCAGTTTATTTCTCACCGATTGAATGTCTGGTAACAATTGAGAATCTGAGATGTATCCAATCCATTGCAATGGAAAAGAAGCAATCTGTATCCATACCGATCGATTCTTGTGGGAGGTAATGGAATGATGCGAGAACTAATATTGAACTTCACAGACACATATACATTTAAACGAAAGAGTTCTGCATAGATGGGCAGATTACCGTTCTAGACAGTCTCAACATAATATAGGTATTTTCAATTATCCACTTCACAAACATGTTCTCAGATCTTTCCACAACCTAAAGATGGAAAAAACATTGAGAGAGTACAGGCAAATCTAAAGAACCAACAACGCGATATATGTCCAACTACGTTGTCGTTCCTACAAACAATCACTTGCCAGTCTTTCCCCTAAGCTTCACGCCTAGGGCCTTCTCCATCTTCGCCAAAACAGCCTGGTTGGGCACAGCCTTTCCATTCTCATACTCTTGAACCACCTGAGGCCGCTCGTTTATTAGCTTTGCGAGCTCCGCTTGGCTCATCTTCTTCTCCAGCCGCGCCTTCTGGATTGCCTGCCTCACCTCACCCGGCACACGGTCCAGCGTCCCTGGATCGGTACTCTCGTCCAACTTTCTTGCGTTTACTACCGGCGCCGTCTTCTTGTTTGATCCGGCATCGAACTTCTTTATTGTCTGGACCGGCACGCCCGACCGCAGGGCCTGATTCACCGCCTTCGGGTCTCGCAACTCTTGGGCCTTGGTCTTGGACTTATGCAGCACCACAGGCTCCCAATCCTGGGTGATTGCTCCTGGATATCTACTCGGCATCGTTGTTGAAACAGAATCAGAGCTCTAAAGAAACAGAGAAATCGGTTTATTTTTACTTGCAACATAATCGAACGTTGATGCCGTTTATATAAAAGGAGGCGGTCTGGAAAGCTCTGCAAGCTTCGAAGATGCGGGGGAAAAAATTTGTTGATAAATGCATGACATGGCAGCTTTTTATTGGATGAAGTTATTGACTAGGAAACTAACCACTTGGTAATTAAGAGCGTCATACGTGCTCCTCAAGGAAGATAAATGTCTGCTATATTTGATGACGTGGTTATGTTTTATAACTTAAAGTGGGGGTATTATTGACTTTGCACATTGTGTATCAATCGAACGGCTTAGGAAACTTATTAGAAACCAAAGGTTCAGATTCACATTTGGGGCCGCCATTTTGGAGATTTAAGAATACCCGAGGGCAAAAATTGGCGCCAATTGCTCACTTTACTTTTTACACTTCGCCTCACACTCTCTTGTTAATTCGAACATGCAGCGCCAAAAATCGATCCTCTCATTCTTTCAGAAACCATCCCCGACGAATCGGAGCTTAGGCGCCGGAGACATGCATGACGAACGGAGAGAGGCTCCGTTTTCGTTGAAGCAGCAGAACCTAAACGGTGCCGTTCTAACTCAGCCGACGTTTCCACCTACAGACGACTCGTCTCTGGAAATAAGAGGAACCGATACTCCGCCGGAGAAATTACCTCGTCAGATTTTACCGACGAGCTTCAAGGCGAATGAGGATGCAAAAGGAGGTTCCTCACTTTTCTCGAGTATTATGCATAAATTTGTGAAGGCTGATAATAGGCAAAATGCTAACCGGAGGTATTATTCTATCTTGAACTTCTAAGGCTTCTTTTGGTTTGATAATTTGGACTATGCCATGTCCTCAGTTTAGTTGATTCGTGAATTTTCTTTGTCACAATCAAATTCATGTGTATTCTTCTGATTTAGCAAATAGCGAGCCGATAATTTTTCACTGTTAAATATTGATTTGTTATTTTATAACACCAAAATTCCTAACAAACAAGGATATGACTTGTGAGCAGGTTATATCAACTCTTGCTTTTTCAAGTCATGACTTGTTATTGGATTAATGAATTTTAAGTTGTGTCCATATGTTAATGCAAATTGCATGTTGCCATGGCTGATTATATAGGCCTATAAATCAGTATACTTTTTGTTGACGATCTGTGTAAATTTCAGGAGTGAATCAAATGGCGTTTCTTCTAATATTTGCTCTATATCTGGTAAAGTTGGTGACTCAGAAGCAGTCCTTGAACGTGGAGCAGCTACTCAATGTCCTGTAAAGGACAATGTTTCTAGTTTCAGCGGGATAGTTAATCAAGGAAGTGTTTTACATAGTGAAAATGATGATGGTATCCCCGGTCCAGAGACACCGGGTACGCATCTTGTTGTTCCTCGATTAAAGAGGATTCAAGAGAATAGTTTTAAGGTAGGAGATAAGAAGGATAGTTCATTGCTGGATTCTAGCAAAAGAGTGAAACTACTTCTGGATTCTGTTACTAGTACTAAGAACCATGGTGAAGAAGCTGATAAAACTAGCAAGTTTGAGTGGCTTGATTCTTCTCATATTAGAGATGCTAATGGAAGAAGACCTGGTGATTCACTTTATGACAAGAAGACGCTTTATATACCACCAGATGTTTTGAAGAAAATGTCAGCGTCTCAAAAACAGTATTGGAGTATCAAAAGTCAATATATGGATGTTTTGCTTTTCTTTAAAGTGGTTAGTTAAAGTCGTTTTCATTTTATATATTCTCAACTACTTCTAATTCCAATCATTGGGGCAACTGTAGTTTGTGTTGACTGTGAAGTTACTTTTCTTTCATTTATCTTCTTAGTTAGTGCCATCAGAAGAGTACTGAGATGGATTACATGCTAAATGTTTCTGATGCATCTTGACCAAGGAAACCCTGGGAATAAAATATAGGAAAGAAAGATTTTGCTGTTTTTCAGGTTGACCAGATCACATTCATGTTGAATTATAATGCTTTAGTTATTCAGGAGTCTCTCCTGCTTAGTATTTCTATATAACAAGTGTATATATATGAAATGATTTAGCATTTCTGGAAATATGCTGCTGTATTCTTTTTCCAATTCTGAGTTTTGAAATTAAGCTTGCCTTATGCTGTAACTTATGATCATTACAGGGGAAATTCTACGAGCTCTATGAACTTGATGCTGAAATTGGCCATAAGGAGCTTGATTGGAAAATTACATTAAGCGGTGTTGGGAAATGTCGGCAGGTGAATAATTTTTGGCTTCGTATTCCTTTGATCCGCCCTGTACAGCTCTTCTTGTTCATCTTTTGGATATGCAATAAACTATTTCCTTATGGTCAGGTTGGTTTACCTGAAAGTGGAATTGATGATGCCGTTCAAAAACTGGTTGCTCGGGGGTAAGAATGTTTAAGTGCTCAGCCTAATTATAAACATGTCTAAGCTGCACAATGCTTTTTTGTAACTTCATTATGTAGTTATACTTTTCTATGTTGAATGACCAGTTACGTAATATAGCCCTTTGGAGACTGTAAAAGTTGGCATAATTCTTGGATTGGTATTTTCTGCAGGAATTTATATTTTTTGTATTATAAGAGAAAATATACAAAAAGGCTTTTATGAGTTTCACTTTAGCACCTTAAATATGTGCCAGATTCAGTAAACTTGTGGAATGGTATTCACTTATTTAAGTATGGTAACTGGAATCAGAATCAAGTTAGCACCCGTTCATTTATTGCCTTCCTTGTGTAGTATCAGTATGTCATGGTTTACTTATTAATTACTTTGTTCCTGTGAAGATATAAAGTTGGGCGAATAGAGCAGTTGGAGACATCTGCGCAAGCAAAAGCCAAAGCAAATTCTGTAAGTTTACCTTGCTTAGAAGGGATAATTCTAATTCATCTTCACAGATTTACTATGCTATGTTTCACTTGTCTTCTCAGTGCTTCCTTTACAGTAATCAAGAAGTTTTGATTTGTTCTTGTTGACCCCTTTATGTTTTATCACTCTGGTTTATATTTGAATCCTAGCCGTTGTTTTTAAAATGTTTGAAACATTTTCAGGTTCTAACTTGCACCTGTAGTCTATGGTGCTTATGAGCATGGTGCTTCTATGTATTCTTCTATCCTCTTTCTCTCTCTTGAAGTATTCTGAGAAGATATGAAATCTACAATTAGTTTGCATTTAGGTTTTCAATTCGAGTTTATTTCTATTCTAATCAGCCATGCTTGGTTAAGCATGTTCATTGCTATGCAGCTAGCAAATTCAACTAAAATATGCCACTTTTTCTGATGCTCTTAAATTTTCTACATATTCTCTCATCTCACTTTAAATAATACTTTTTCTATTTTGGTCTTCATCTCTACCCTTTAACTTTTTCTCCCCTCTTGATATATTGTACATACAATTGTTTAGATAACAGTCTAAACTTCTTGATTTGACTTCTAGGTAATTCCAAGAAAGTTAGTACATGTAGTCACACCATCAACGACAGTTGACGGTAATATTGGGCCTGATGCTGTTCATCTTCTTGCCATAAAAGAGGTTTGTAATGTTGTTTTGTCAGTTCTCTTATATATGGATGCCAAACGTCAATTTTTCTTGTATATACACGCAATATCACCTTTGTGGTTTCTTATTACATTTACTTCCAGTGCTTGTTGTCTGTAATACACAAACACACATCCATAATGTTAGGTGCTTATTCAAAAAATATGGCCCCTTTGGTTCACTATTTTTACCCTATCCTATTCCATTATTCTATCCTAAAAACCCAAAAATACATTTGTTTCAATATTTTCAAAATCCAATTTTTACTTTATTCAACTCAAAACATTAATAGTTACCTTTCTTGTAAAGATAACCCAATTCAACTCAACTTTATTTTTTCCAAAATACTATTATAAAAAACATTAGAATAGTGAACCAAACAGAGCCTAGTGGCATAATACTGTGGTTAAAACAGAGCACCTGCCCAATTCTTGAATCATGATGAAATGTAAATTCTTCACTGTGGCAGCTTTAAAGAAAATAACGAGACAATTTAATATTTTCTTCACCTTTGTCTCTATATCATATTCAATATGTTAGTTGTATTTTTGGTGCTTTCCTGTACTTTCTCCTAAAACTTTTGCTTGCTTTAATTTAACTCTACATATTTATCTCTTGGCTGCGACTTATTAATTAACATTTCTTTCTAATGGTGTTTCCTATTGTTGCATGATGTGGAGGCTCTGGGCTGTACATATTTTAAGTGTGTTGCATTGTGTTTTGTCTCCAGGGAAACTATGGGCTGACTAACGATTCAGTTGTCTATGGTTTTGCTTTTGTTGATTGCGCTGCTCTAAGATTTTGGGTTGGCTCCATTGAGGATGATGCTTCATGTGCTGCTTTGGGGGCTTTATTGATGCAAGTATGCTCTTCTGTCCTATTTTCGCTNGGTTAAAACAGAGCACCTGCCCAATTCTTGAATCATGATGAAATGTAAATTCTTCACTGTGGCAGCTTTAAAGAAAATAACGAGACAATTTAATATTTTCTTCACCTTTGTCTCTATATCATATTCAATATGTTAGTTGTATTTTTGGTGCTTTCCTGTACTTTCTCCTAAAACTTTTGCTTGCTTTAATTTAACTCTACATATTTATCTCTTGGCTGCGACTTATTAATTAACATTTCTTTCTAATGGTGTTTCCTATTGTTGCATGATGTGGAGGCTCTGGGCTGTACATATTTTAAGTGTGTTGCATTGTGTTTTGTCTCCAGGGAAACTATGGGCTGACTAACGATTCAATTGTCTATGGTTTTGCTTTTGTTGATTGTGCTGCTCTAAGATTTTGGGTTGGCTCCATAGAGGATGATGCTTCATGTGCTGCTTTGGGGGCTTTATTGATGCAAGTATGCTCTTCTGTCCTATTTTCCCTCCTGAGAAATTCTACTACAATGTCTAAGTGACAGATCAAAATTTGGATTCTCATTCTGTGATTGGTTTTAGGTTTCACCAAAAGAAGTAATATACGAAAGTAGAGGTGAACTTTTCTCCTTTTCCTTTTGACATTAGAACAAATTCCATTTGTAAGTTATTCATGGAAATTGTAACTGCAGCTTAA